GAAAGACGTTCTGATACACTCAGTTACCAAGTACAGAGAGGAGCTGCTGCTGTTTCATTCACATCCATGAAATTTCTTATTTGGGGCTAACTCCAAATCCACAGAGTGGTTTTGCAGTATGAGTGAGAGTTTTAAATTAGTGAATAAGGAAACAGCCCAGTTCCTTCTGCACAGGCTGAGCCTCATCTCAAGGGTGTTCCAGGTTTGATGAATAAAATCTGGATCCCCATAATCTACTTCCTAATTAATTGAGCTGCTGTTGATTACTTTTCATTTGGAAGCTTCCATTTGATCTCACTGCCACTGTGCCAGGAGCAGCCCGCTCAATAATTTCCTGTCTTCCTGTGTGCACGTGTCCACCATTCCTTCAGGGTTGAAGCCTGCCTTTGAGACGTTCCTCTGTTTCGCTCTGACCATGTCTCTGGTCAGTCTGGCAGGAGTTGGTCTGGCCTTCCTCGTCTCAGCGAGCGTTTCTACATTTGCGATGGCAAACATCCTCATTGCTTTGCCCTTCGTCTTCATGATGGTGAGATGCTAAGACTCATATATGACATGTACAAGAGAGGAATAGGCACTTAAAAGTTTCATTCCCTCTTTATGTTTTAGGTCTTTGGTGGTTTTCTCGTCAATCTCAACGCCATGCTGAGCTGGCTCTCTTGGGTGAAATGGATCAGTATCTTCAAATATGGATTGGATGTAAGACACAGAAAGCAAGGGAGGAGGATTTGTGTGTGAGAATGAGACCACTGGGGCTGAATGTGCCTTTATGTGGAGTGAGGAGGTTGTTCAGCCTGATCTCTTTGTCTCTCTTTCTTAGGCTCTATACATTAACGAGCTGAAAGGACTGTTTTTGTACAGCAACAACACAACGTGAGTGAAATAACGTAGCTACTGTTTAAAACTTATGCACACACATGCACACACAGATTAAATGTGTCTTTGTGTCTTGTGCTTCAGCATCTCAGGGGAATATTTCCTGGAACAGCAAGGTATCGACTACTCCGTGTGGGGCTTCTGGAGGAACGTGGTGGCCTTGCTGGGAATCATATTTGTCTGCATGTGCCTGGCCTACGTCCAGTTGCGACGAATCAACCGCTGGAAATGATGCCCATTCATGTGTCCATAAGCAGCAAAGTATATTTCTTAGTAATTTAACAACAACAAATAAAGCAACACTGGAGAGTTTTGTATAGTTCCACCAGACTGAGCTTTCTTTTACTATTATTTATTATTTCAGATCAATTTATACTGTAAAACATTACATTTAAAATCGTTTACTCACTTAAGCTCTAAAGTAGGGATGTCAAACTCATTTTACATCCCGGGTCACATGCTGCCCACATTGATGTTAAGTGGACCACACTAGTGAAATTCCTCTTTCTGTCATTGTAAAGACGTCTAACTGTCCATTTAAAGTTCCTTGGAATATCATAGAAGAAAAACAAGTGAAATTTCAATAGTATCTCAAAGTTTTTTGCATGATAAAGAAATGTTGTCAGAGTAGATGGAAGAAACCTGTCAGCACAAATAAAATAAAAAAATGTGTTAAATTACAGAAAAATTTGGTTTAGCTCATTGCTC